CACACACACACACATACACACACACACACACACACACTCGCGTGCGCGCGCACTAAAAAACTAAAGCACCGTTACTCCCCCGCGAACCACAAAGCCTAGTTTCGGCTGTTTTGTTTAGTGAGCATTCGTGTGCGTCTGTTAGTCTGTAAAAGGAAAAAGGGGAGGGGGTTGAAGACGAGGGGCAAACCTAGATTCTACATCAGAACAGAACTGTAGGCTAGATGTAGCAAAAGTACAATGGATCAAACATTTTGCAATGTAAATTATTCTTTTCTTTCAAATTGTTGAAACAATATTCACGATAACCTTTTATGTAGTATTCCTCATTGATTTTTCGTAGGCTAGGAGGACCTAGGCCTTTTTCCAGATCTACTTTGAAGATTTGCCATTTTTTCATTCACAAAACTTAACAATTTCAAAGGCGACATAGATCTAGCAGCGGTAGGCTACATTTAGCCAAGGCTTCACCAAATAGCAACAGCAACCGAAGTGAACAGTGAACAGTGAATCCAATAGCCTAGGCCTAATGCACTTAAATGCACTTGACCCTTCGGTAGGCCTAGTAGAATCCCAAAATGTAACGGAGCGCAGTTTATCTCAACGATTATGACAGATTAACACAAAATAAAGTCCAAAATGAATAACACGTAGTGCTTAGACAATGCTTCAAAGACGGTCTTTTTTTCAAAACCCAGCAGTTGAAATGTCTTTCAGCACCTCTAATAAAGTATCCCCCTTCCCCACCCCCGAAAAAAAACAGTGGCTCGCAGCTGCAATCGTATTTTTAACGTATGATGTAGGTGTGACGTAGAACAAAGGCGACGGAAGTTCTCTGGCGGATCTACCTCGCCCTTTGAACTTCGTGAAACCAGAGTTATAAGATTCCATCTGCAAAATTGATGCCTGTGCCTTATTCTTTAATGCTGACAGAACCTTTTGACTCTTGTCCTATGAACTTGTGTGTGTGTTTTTTTGTGTGTGTTTCTTTTTCCAACGATGGGCGAGGTTTCCATGTAGCCAATCAGAAAGAACACCTCACTCTAACCATCAAATCACGTGATTTTTCTCTTTCTCGTCTGGTGTCGCTCTGTTGCTGTGAATGAGTAGGCTAGGCTAGGCAAGGCCTAGGGAATATTCGCAAAGTTCTGAACGTGCCTTGTTCAAATCTACTGTAACAGTGCGCTTTTACTTTTAGTGGATGTCATTGTATTTTCCCGTGCGCTCCAAGATGAGTGACTATTCGAAAAAGTTAATGACGAAGGCAATAAATGATATGGATGCCTTTTTATCTGATCTTGGTCTGGCAAGGAAGGCAGTTACGAAGGACGAGACGTGTTTATTCCGTGCAGTGTCCGAGAAGGTGAGTACTGCTAGACTGCTTTTCTCTAACTACTTTTTGCCCTCTTACACAACAGCACGGGCCGGGAGTAGGTCAGTGACCAGCAAAAAAGGAGGTCAGTAAGGTGAGTGCTGACAACTGAGGGCCTGAGGGGTCAGCCGAGGATTGATGACGGTCGTGTCGACATGCGTGCACAACTTATCGACACTTTATTTCACTTGTAATTTATTCAGACCAAAGGTCTGTGTTTGTTTTCGTTGGTTACACACAAGATTTTAAAAAATTATTCAAAGGGCATTTATTAGTGTTCAGACCAGGCGTACTCTCGTATGGTCTCATTGAAAAGGCTGACAATAGCTGCCATTCGTGCTATTTGTATCGTCAAGTCTCGTGTGTTGGTGGTGAGCAAGTGTCACAATGACAATGTGTTATGATTAGACAATCTGCTCTTGCTGTGAAAGTGAGAGACATTTCCTATCGTTGGGCAAGAAAAGCTTTCTTTTTTTAATGACCCATCTCGTTTCGCTCTGATTCATGCAACACATTATCTCATCTGATAAAAGTTGTGGTAGGCAAGCCTCAACGGCGAAACGCGCATATAGATATCTTATGATTATCTAAATCTAGATCTAGATATAGATCTAAATCTAAATTCTAGATATAGATCTAGATTTAGATCTACAAGAACCTCTCAACTCTCTTTTTCACCCTCTTAACCGCAACCAAGTATAGGCCTATCTGAGAACTTTCGTTTTTAGGCCTAGAATCTGGATCTGCCTCTAGGCTCTAGATCTAGATTCTAGATCTAGATATGGAAGGTAGGCCTAGAATCTAGAATCTAGATTTACTCTCACAGACAAGTGGGATGGCGTGAACAGGAAGCCTTCGTCAACTTGGTTCTTGACTAGATCTAGATCTAGATCTGCCAAGGGATCTTAACGTGCGCAACTTGCACACGGGACCTCCGAGATTTTTCGCCCTTGTCCGAGAAGGCTTTTATCTAGGCCAGGGATGTGGCTGAAAGACAGCAGTAAGGAGC